TGTTATAAACGCGCAAAAATAATTTTGCGCGTTTGCCGCGCAAAATACACGAAGTCTCCGTGAGAAATGCGCGCTTTCTTTTTTTTATATATTTTCTTTAATAACATTAGCCATTATCATAACAATAAAGACGTATCGATATATATTTTATATATATAGAGATCGTCTAATTAAAAAACGATTACCCTGAACGGTGAATCACTTGGCTCGTGGGTCGATGAAGAACGCAGCTAATTGCGCGTCAACTTGTGAACTGCAGGACACATGAACATCGACATTTCGAACGCACATTGCGGTCCTCGGATACTGTTCCCGGACCACTCCTGGCTGAGGGTCGTATCAATTTAAAAGACTGCTCGGTTTCCTCTCCGATCTCTGTTCGCGTCGTCGTATTATCTCTTTATCCGAGAGACGACGACGACGACGACGACATGAGAGAGGAGAATGAAACGTCGGAGCGTGTTGGATGTAGACGCGGCGGTACGACGCGACGACGCTAGTTATTATATATTTATTTATGTAATATCGTAAACGTCGTCGTCTTTGTCGTCGTCGCGGCATCTCAAAACGCGAAAGCGACGATTCGTTCGTCATACGAACGAATCGTAAACTCACACATAGAACGAACACGCGCGCTGTACGGATAAAAATCGTAATAGCACTACATATATATATATATATATATATATGTATATATGCTGTAGTCGTTACGCGTTTCGAACTTGCGCTGCGATCGTCGTGTCCGAGAGAGAAATTATTTTTTTCGAGATAACGACGTCTGATCGCATATACGCGCTAAACACTAGAGAACGCTTTCGACTAGTAGTAGTATAGCAGCAGCAGCTATACGATTTAGTATTAGCGATCGCGTGTGACATATATATCTGTGTGTGGTGTTGTGTTGTATATTGTTAACCGACCTCAGAGCAGGTGAGACTACCCGCTGAATTTAAGCATATTACTAAGCGGAGGAAAAGAAACTAACTAGGATTCCCTCAGTAGCTGCGAGCGAACAGGGAAAAGCCCAGCACCGAATCCCGCGGTCGATATCGGGCGCCGGGAAATGTGGTGTTAGGGAGGATCCGTTTATCCCGAGGTCGCGCGGCGAGTCCAAGTCCTTCTTGAACGGGGCCACAGCCCATAGAGGGTGCCAGGCCCGTAGTGGCCGCTGCCGATCGCGGGAGGATCTCTCCTCAGAGTCGGGTTGCTTGAGAGTGCAGCCCTAAGTGGGTGGTAAACTCCATCTAAGGCTAAATATGACCACGAGACCGATAGCGAACAAGTACCGTGAGGGAAAGTTGAAAAGCACTTTGAAGAGAGAGTTCAAGAGTACGTGAAACCGTTCAGGGGTAAACCTGAGAAACCCGAAAGGTCGAAAGGGGAAATTCATTCGCGTTTCGGCCGTCGGCGATGAGCGGTCGCGCGACGGACGGCGTTCGCGCGTCGTCCGCGCCTTTCGCTTTTCGATCCGGCGTCGAACGCGTGCACTTTTCCCCTAGTAGGACGTCGCGATCCGTTGGGTGTCGGTCTACGGCTCGCGGTGGAGTCCGTGTACGATCGTTTCGGCGATTCGTGCTCGAACCCGCGATGTTCCGGCCGACTCGCTCGACGGTATACAGATGGCGCGAGGCCGCTACTTCTTCAATTAGCGTCCGACCCACGACAAGCACGTTCGATGCTAAGACGGCGATCGGACCTAGCGCCCGGTTCCGTCCCCGGACGACTGTTGGTCGTGCGGATTTCTCGGACAGACCTCGTTTGAAACGCCGATCTGCGACGCTATAGCTTTGGGTAATTTCAGGACCCGTCTTGAAACACGGACCAAGGAGTCTAGCATGTGCGCGAGTCATTGGGACATAACTAAACCTAAAGGCGCAATGAAAGTAAAGATCCGCCTAGCGCGGATTTAGGGAAGATGGGCGGCACGTCTATAAAGCGGCCGCTCCGCACTCCCGGGGCGTCTCGTTCTCATTACGAGAAGAGGCGCACCAAGAGCGTACACGCTGGGACCCGAAAGATGGTGAACTATGCCTGGTCAGGACGAAGTCAGGGGAAACCCTGATGGAGGTCCGTAGCGATTCTGACGTGCAAATCGATCGTCGGAACTGGGTATAGGGGCGAAAGACTAATCGAACCATCTAGTAGCTGGTTCCCTCCGAAGTTTCCCTCAGGATAGCTGGCGCTCGTCTGTGACGAGTTTCATCCGGTAAAGCGAATGATTAGAGGCATTGGGGTCGAAACGACCTCAACCTATTCTCAAACTTTAAATGGGTGAGATCTCCGGCTTGCTCGAACTAATGAAGCTGCGAGAATCGAATCAGAGTGCCAAGTGGGCCATTTTTGGTAAGCAGAACTGGCGCTGTGGGATGAACCAAACGTCGAGTTAAAGCGCCTAAATCGACGCTTATGGGATACCATGAAAGGCGTTGGTAACTTAAGACAGCAGGACGGTGGCCATGGAAGTCGGAATCCGCCAAGGAGTGTGTAACAACTCACCTGCCGAAGTTACTAGCCCTGAAAATGGATGGCGCTGAAGCGTCGTGCTTATACTCGGCCGTCAGCGGCATGTGCGGTCTCGATCCGCGTAAAAACGGATCGGCCATGAAGCTCTGACGAGTAGGAGGGTCGCGGCGGTGCGCGCAGAAGGGCTGGCCGTGAGGCCGTCTGGAGCCGCCGTCGGTGCAGATCTTGGTGGTAGTAGCAAATACTCCAGCGAGGCCCTGGAGGACTGACGTGGAGAAGGGTTTCGTGTGAACAGCCGTTGCACACGAGTCAGTCGATCCTAAGCCCTAGGCGAAAGCCGATGTTGATGTGGCGTTGTTTTATAAATATATGTATGTATGTGTGTATATATAAAGAACACGCCCGTCGGGCGAAAGGGAATTCGGTTCCTATTCCGAAACCCGGCAGCGGAACCGTACAATAGTCGGGCCCTCGCAAGAGAGTTCGTCGGGGTAACCCAAAAAGACCCGAAGACGCCGTCGGGAGACCAGGGAAGAGTTTTCTTTTCTGCATAAGCATTCGAGTTCCATGGAATCCTCTAGCAGGGAGATATGGTTTGGAATGCGAAGAGCACCGCAGTTGCAGCGGTGTCCTGGTCTTCCCCTCGGACCTTGAAAATTCGGGAGAGGGCCACGTGGAGGTGTCGCGCCGGTTCGTACCCATATCCGCAGCAGGTCTCCAAGGTGAAGAGCCTCTAGTCGATAGAATAATGTAGGTAAGGGAAGTCGGCAAATTGGATCCGTAACTTCGGGATAAGGATTGGCTCTGAGGATCGGGGCGTGTCGGGCTTGGCGAGGAAGCGGGTCGCGGCTGACGTGCCGGGCCTGGGCGAGGTGAAACGTTCTGTCGTATGCGTTCGCGCGTGTGCGGTAGGATTGCGGATCCGAACTCGGTACCGTGCCTTGGCCTCCCGCGGAACCGTCTTGCTGCGAGGCCCAGAGTGCGCTCGCAAGGGCGTTCTGGTGTCCTCTTCGGCCGCCATTCAACGGTCAGCTCAGAACTGGCACGGACCGGGGGAATCCGACTGTCTAATTAAAACAAAGCATTGAGATGGCCCCTGCGGGTGTTGACTCAATGTGATTTCTGCCCAGTGCTCTGAATGTCAACGTGAAGAAATTCAAGCAAGCGCGGGTAAACGGCGGGAGTAACTATGACTCTCTCGTTCCACAGCGAGATCGCGGATTTAGCTAGCGCACAGCCGTTAAGCGGTCCAAATGCGATCGAACGTGTATAATATACGAAAGACGATCTTCAGCTCGCTCTTCGTAATATTTTTTCACATATGCGACATCTCTCCTCATTCCGAGTGAGAATACGACGACGACGACACAGTTGTTGTCTTATAACCGAAACGTAGAACTATCGTTTTTCGATCAGAGCAAGAGAGATGCGAATGGGATCCTTGCGGGCAAAGGCCAGATCCTCAGAAGCCTCTTTGAGTATGCTCTGGTCTCATTAGCTAGAGAAAACCAAAGTTGCTAACATGGGGAGATTTATCGAGCAGGGCGAGATATCAGTGTCGGCTCTGATTGACTCGTATCCAACTTGCTACGGTAAATCGTCGGTGAGATACCAACAAGCGATGTATCGTCTAAGAACAAACGAACTCGTTTGACCAGCTAAAAGGCTTCAAACAAATATGGATGTAAAGCACAATACCAAACAACCATAGAGGGTCCAGGTATCAAGGGTAAACCGGATTAAAACGACAAAACGTGTTCGTCACCTCCGCCTAGGAGAGGACAAAGAACAAGTTGAGTCGACTGGGTCCCTAAGAATACCGGCCTTATTGGTTTACCTCTCCTAGAGGATCCCACAAGATAAAGAAGGCAAACCACACTTGTCGGAAATAACACCAAAATATGGACCTCTTGGTCACTCTAGTAGTGTCCAGGGGCCTTTTTTGGCTGCAAAAATTTCAGACAAGGAAGAAGGCTTCCCTTAAATACTAAGAACACTCAGTATAGGGGGGGGCCTTGAATTGAACAACAACCCGCACAGGTCTGCTGCAGGTTGAATCCTATACATCCAGGTAATAAACCTGGAAGGAGGATGCCTCGACAGCTCACTAGACCGCGGACCACCAGACTCTTGGTCGGTAAGATCTGGGAAACAGTGTCTGCAAGCGAACCGGACCGACCAATATGGGCAAGTGCGGTTGCTCTATAAAGGGTTCGCTACCAGAAGACCGGTAACTTTACCAAAATTTGAACGAGCGGAATACACCTTACCGGTCTGTATCCGCCGTCCGACGATATCGCATCCCCTAAGGATCGCGATTAGGACAAGATTTGAAATAGCAGCTGGGTGGCGCTGGTACTACCCGCACGTCGGTAGCTACTTGCTATATCATAAGACGCTGAGGACTAGAACACACCACACCAGCGCACCCATGTCAAAGGTCCTCAAAGGGCAGGTCAGTAGAGCGCGACCTGAAAGCCTCGCGGGGCGTCCCGACCCTGTGAGTGGATGATTGTCTCGGGAAAACGAAATATGCAATGGATAAGCGCTGTACGGGATTACCACCTGACCAAAAAACTGCCGTTCGGATTGGTGGTGGCAGCAGCGCGTACGGAGCGAGTTGGAGTGCAGAAAGCGACGAAGCTCGAAACGTATTTGGAGACGATTCAACAATGATTGGTGAAGCTCTCGAAGTGGGTTCAGATTCTCGCTATCAGTGCTCGACTTCACGTACAATTGCTAGTGGAGTTGAGACAGTCAGGCAGACCACCGAGGGGCCGGAACGCAGTTCTCCTGGAAACTCTGAGTCTCCCACCGACTCGGGCTCCGGAGACCCATGCGAGGCCGCACTAACTACTATCACATTTAAGCACCCTGCGGAGAGGTACAATTGCTCGCTATGCGCTCGCGCAGGGAGGGTTATGCAGTCCTTCCTAAGCGCGAAAGACGCTAAAACGCACGTAACAGAGACGCACCCAGAAGTAACAACGTACTGGGAATGTCCGCACTGTGACAGAAAGAGCACGACCACATCGGGAATTTCGAACCATATTCGATCATGCCGACCACTAGGTCGTCCCGCAGAAACTGGTTATACGTGCGAAGCCTGCTCCTCATCATTCCCTACCAAAGTTGGCCTATCGATGCATGAACGGCATGCTCACCCAGCAATCAGAAACCAGAAGCGGTTAGCTGACGCAGCCGCTCCCAGGAAGACGAATGCTGGCGTCAGGTCAAAGATTTGGTCAGAGGAAGAGGAGCAGAAACTGCGCCAACTAAACCAAGAGTATGCGGGACAAAGACACATTAACAAGCTCTTGATGTCGCAGTTCCCGGGGAAAACACAAAGGCAGATCAGCGACAAGCGTCGTCTGCTCGGCCTGATTGAACCGGCGAACGGGCCAGCGTCTCGAACGAGCGACAGAGCAGTACCCCGCTCACTTGGGAATCAGACAATAAAGCTGCAAAAAGAATCGCCAATAAATAAGATCTTGAAGCCTCAGGTGAAAGTACAGAAATCGTATGACGACGAAGAGAAGAGATGGAGGCAGTGTATGATAGCTTCGGCGACCAGAACACTTGCCAAACACCATGACGAGATGGCGAAGGACGCTAAAATACAGCCTTTGGCAGTCAGGTTAACTGCAATTGCGGGGAGCTTTCGATCTGCTGAAGATGTCATAAGCGTATCTGACCCACTCGTAAAACAACTCGAAAACGTCGTCAACGAACTCACCGTCGAGTTAGCGGGAGGCAAACCCAATCTGCCCCGAAACGGCCAGAGAGGTAAGGCCGCAAACGCTAACCACAGAGCTAGGGGAAGTAGAGACAAAAGACGCCAACACGAGTATGCTACGGTACAACAACTCTGGGAGAAAGAACCGAAACAACTAGCTACGCTAGTAGTGGAGGATCGGCTCTCAGATATCGAACAACGCCGCCAACCTGAACTACCTCCGGGTGATCAGGTAAGAGACCTATATAACGGACTCTGGGGCGTTGAAGAAACCACATTCTTCCCACCTGATTGGGAAGAGACCGTAGCTACAAGGGTGGGCGTCGTCGATATTAACCCGATACAGCTCGGAACGGTAGAAAAAAGATACCGACGCCTGAAAACGCACACTGCTGCGGGGCCAGACAAAGTGGCTAAGAAGGACATACGCCGAACAGCGCGCATTCTTCTGACTGCGATCTTTAATATCTGCTTGGGGATTGGGTTTTACCCCGAATCCTGGAAACGTAACAGAACAACGCTGATCCCAAAAGATGGCAAGGATCTGACAGTGGCAGCCAGCTGGCGGCCGATTACTGTCAGCTCAATCCTAGCCAGACTGTTCTCGGGGGTGATCGATGAATCTCTTAGGGGAAACATCGAGCTAAGCCGAGCACAAAAAGGATTCACGCATGACGAGGGAGCGGCTCAGAACGTCTCCCTCTTTCGCCAAACGTTGAAAGCGATGAAGGAGGAACAAGGTGGAACTTGTTCCATACTTGACATTTCCAAAGCCTTCGACACAGTGCCACATGGTGCATTAGTACCGGCGCTCAGAAGGCTTGGAGTGGCCCCTTATATCGCTGAATACGTCGATTACGTATACCAGGATTGTCAGACGGTCTTACCATCTACGACCGAAGAAATAAAGATCAGTCTGAAGAGAGGCGTGAAGCAAGGCGATCCTCTTAGCCCACTTCTTTGGAACGCAGTCGTCGACCCATTATTGACATACCTCGATCAGCGGGAAGGAAAGGGAATTGTCCTAGGAGGACGCAATGTGTCGGTCCTGGCGTTCGCGGATGATCTGATTCTTATCAGTAAATCTGAAGGGGACGCCGTAGAGGACATCGAACTTGTGTCTGAATATTTCAGCGCCCTAGGCATGAACCTCTCGATAGCCAAGTGTAGCGCGTTCACGGTTAAACCGCTACATAAAACTTGGGCTATCGTGGACCCCAAGCTTAAGATCAAAGATCAGGAAGTCAATTATGTGGACCCAGACGAAGCGATCCGTTACCTCGGTGTCAGTTTCACTCCTTGGAAAGGAGGAATTTCTAGCAAAGACAACGCGAAGGAATTCGTTTCTGCTGCAAAAAGGGCGGCAAGACTTAGTCTCAAGCCCGAACAGAAACTGAAGCTGATATTCGAGTATGTGTATCCCAGATACAGGTACGGAATGGTGCAAAATCCACCTTCCAAGACGGCGTTAGAAGATGCGGACCAACAAATCCGGAACGTTGTTCGTAAAATCTTCCATCTGCCAGAAAGTACCACTATGTATCTACTATATACGCGCAAGAAGGAAGGTGGCCTAGGCGTGACCCGGATGACAACTGATATTCAGCTTGCTGTAATCAAGTCCGTCGTGAGGATGAGGCAGTCTACAGACCCCGTAGTCCGAAACGTCGGAATGTCATCTGTGCGGTCCGCGGAGGCGGAAAAAGCAGCTAAACTGCTACGAATCCAGATGCCGACCTCCACAGAAGCCGTCGCAAAACTGAAGCGAAGCGCCATTGACAAGGAGTATTCCTCCTGGAAAGGGCTACCGTGCCAGGGCGATGGAGTCGAGGAGTTTAAAGATAGGCTATCCAATGAGTGGTTGACCAGGAACGATCTTCTATCTAGCGGTAGGATGATCGATGCCCTACGCATGCGTACCAATACGTACGGGAACAGGACGACGCTCATTCGGGCTGGACACGATCACCTGTCCCACCTATGCCGCGTATGTGAGAATAGGCCGGAATCCCTATCTCACATTATTGGAGGATGTCCAGAGTTGAAGCCGCGAGTGATAAAGAGACACGACGAGATTGGTAACCTCGTCGAGTCAGAAGTATCAAAGAAGCGGCGCAACCTGGAGTTACTCCGCGAGTCAACTTTCCGCGTGTCCAATGGCATGTTGAAACCGGATCTGGTCGTAGTAGACCAGGGAAGGGCCCAAGTGGTCGACTACACAGTCCGCTACGAGGGTACAAACACGCTAAAGGAAGCCCACGAGGAAAAAGTGGCCAAATACTCGATACTGGAGAACCCTCTCCGCGACATCTTCGGAGACGTAGAAGTGGAAGTGATCCCAATCGTCAT